GTAGATAATTAGAAATGAATATCTCTCAGGGAGATTCAACTTTTTAACGATTAAACGATTTATTCAATAATTATAGTCTTTGATTAATGCCGTAAATATCAGGCAATATGAATTACAAGAAAAGTGACTTAACGAATAATCGGATTACTAATTGTCTGTGTCTGACAACCTGACTAACTGCCCCAGTGGCAACGAACTCACGAGCTTATATTTCATCGTGGATTCGATTGCAACAAGTGTTCTATCTTTGTTTTACACCTGGAGAGACATCGGGTGTCGTCCCAGGTGTACGTAAAGGCCATAGCCGTTGATGGGGCGAAGTGCTGACACTGCACCCCAGTGATCCACATTATGACGAATATATGTGGACTTAATCCACAAATATTCGGGTTAGTTTATATTATAACATTTACATTCTTTGATTCGATTTTACATGTTTTGGATAATATGTGCCACTTCGCGTGTCGTCATATTCTCCAGGTCAATGAGAAATTACCTAATACTATTTCTTAATTTAATGGTATTTCTGGGGCATAACAGTTTCACCTCTTAGAATGTTCGTCTCGATGTGCTACTTTTAGTAAATTAAAATATGTTGTGACAAGGCACAGTTTTGTACCCCCTCACCTGCCCCCTAAACTTAAAAGTTGAGTCAAGTTGGGTTTTAGTTACTTTTTTTCGTCATCGTTGGGCAACCCACCCCCAGATATTCCTCACCCCCCGTCCTCATTTCCTGTCGCCGCAGCACTCACCTATCAAGGAAGAGGACCCCACGTGACCCCGGATGGAAGAAGACGTCCCGCGAGAAGGAGAAGGACACCTGATGAGTGCCCCAGATTGACCACGATTACCCACGATAATTGGGGAAAAAATCAGGATGATTGGCAGCCATCACTCGCGCCACAGCTGCCCCACGAATCACTGGCCCAAATAACAGAGAGAAATTATTGAGAGGAGAGGAATTAGTGTGGAGAGACCCTGTGAAGAGACATTGGTGAAGTGGACTTCTGTGAGAAGAGAGACTTGAGTGAGAGGAGAGAATTGTGGAGAGAAAGAGACTTGTGTGGAGTTTGTGAAGTTGGTCGAGTTCGAAGAGTTTATCCAGGAGAGGAAAGAAGGAAGGAAGGAAAAAAATATCGCAGGACTCCCGAAAGGAGAGTTGGCGACGTCATCACCCGTGAGTGCCCCATTTTTGAAGTGAACCTCTATTCAATTCATTTTCTTCTGTTGGCATTAAAGCCCCCTATTAATTATTACTTTTCCAGTTGCTTAAGCGCAAGTGACTTACTCTTACCCCCGGACCGTCGAGTTAATTAGTAGTCAAAAGGCCTGGATTATTTCTTGTGTTAATGTTTTTGTAACGTCACTTGGAATACACAGGTATTTCAGATATGCTCCTAATTTTTCGAGTTATAATGAATTCCAGAGTATCGTTTCTTGGTTGTGCATTATTTTATATTCATTTTTCCGACCAAGGTCATAATGTATCTCCACTTATACTCAGTTTTCGAGATATTCTGTTTTGCTGTTTTGCTAAAAAATTTTGTTAGCAAGGAACGCTGCGAAAAATCGACTCATCAACATAAATTTCGGTATGAAGTTTCCTATTGGCAATGAAATATGAGGAATTGAAGAAGGGCTAAATCTGATGATTAATTCATAAAATATTCAACATTGCTTGAAATTGATGTTCTTAAATATTTTGAAAGCTATTCAATCGATTACAATTCTTCACCTGTCAAAATATTTGTCTTGATGTACTCTATATCAATCAATTGAAATATGTACATCAGTTCTCACTAACTTTTCGAGGTATTCCAACTTTCCTGTTTTTTCAAAACAAAAATTCTTAGCATGGTAACGTCGCGAAAAATTAATTCATTAACTTGAAATTTGGCATCAAATGTCCTCTTGACAATCAAATTTTTGGTATTGAAAAACGCTGAGGCTTTCTTTCTTCAAAATTTTGTACTCAATCTCTATTCTTTTTGCGCTTTCTCAACATTATTTCCAGTCCCAATGTTGATTCGTTCTGCAATCAAATTTGATGTGTTTTCTGAAGTAATTCATTTTGTAAATGATCTTTCATTAAACACTTACTCCATGATCTTTTTCCTTGCAAGAAAAAATTTCCTAAAAAAACCTAAGTAATCAAAAATTTTACAGATTTTTTTAACAAAATTTCTAGTCAACTTTTTTTTTATTTGTATATTAATTAAAAATTTGTCTTCTCTCAAAAAGAACTCCATTTGATGTCTTCTATCTCAATCCATTCCAAGTTAAATACCTCATCATAGGAAATTTTTTGAGAATCGTCGACAAATAAGAGAAGTCATACAAAGGTATAAGCACTTTTTCTAGTCGTTTGGCACCATACCATCCATTCATTGATGGCAATGAAAGGCGGAAAGGGAAAAATGAGAGTGAAAAAATTACTCAAGGACTTGCTTACTGTCACTTTCTCGCTGTCATATACTCTCCATTCAAGTGCTTCCCGCAATACAAATTTGATCCCAACTTTTAATGTATGTTGGACTAAAAGCGAAAAATTTAAACAAAAATATTAATGATGAATATAACGAAAAAAACATAATGCACTGGACAAGATTCAAAGTAAATAATATCAGTTCTTACTATTTTATTGTAGGACAAATTATATATTCAGATTTGATTTTTATGAACCGAAAACCATTAGGGAATAAACGATCCTAAAACAGATGATATGATTGTTCTGATTATATAATGCATATTTGCTAGGATGATATAATATGATTAGATGTTTTGATTATATAATGCAGATATGCATTATATAATCAGAACAATCATATCATCTGTTTTAGGATCGTTTTTTATAAAAGGACATGTTAATTAAATAGAAATTATATCATCAAAATGGGTGGCCCATACCTTCGTTTATAGATGTATTTGATTGATGCCTGCCCCCTTAATTTGTCGCGTGAATATCGGGGCCGGAATCAATATATGTTTCAATGCACACATGCACTCAGTCCGTACTTTCGACTGGTTATAAAGAAAAATAGTATACACTACATGGGCAAATAGTTCACATCCATCAACAGCCATGAACGAAATTCAACTTTCTGTCCTTCTAGTATAATACATTATTTTGCCGAAATGTATGTAACATATATCCGCATGTAATTTATATATATTGCCAAGTATATATTTTTTCCATGATAATAACATGACCCGAAGGCGAATGATATAATCGAAGGGTGCCAAATCACTTTGCCGAGTAATTTCGAGACTTTATGATACAACTGAAATAAAGGCAAATGACTTGTTTTCTGCGGTGCCATACAATTTGCTTCGATACATGTGGACGTTCTCATAACTGTGATTACATACCTCCCCTTCGGCTCGCTTTCTGACTGCCATACTCGTTGAAAAGGACTTGTTCTTCCATTTGTATTGTAACATACTATTTTGTAATAGTTACAAACGTTAAATGAACATTGATGCATTCTTCTCACAACACTGAAAAATTTGAATGATTCAGAAATGTTATGCGGTCGAAAGGAGTTTGGGGAATCTCTCATACAAGGGTCCCTACAGAATCCAGACCTGGGAACGTAGCAATTGCCGCTGGACTATATGAAGACCCCAGTGCTCTTTTCAAAGGATGGAAGAAAAATCCAGTAGACTTTGACTCTACATTCAATCGGAGCACGAAAACGTGGGCGTGGGGAAGTCCTGATATAGTACCGATGTTTGTTGAAGGTAACCAAAATCCTACAATTCTCTTTTGAATGATTCACACTTGAAATATTGTTAACTGTCCCGTATAGACGTTTGGCGTCCATCCAAGTACATAGCCGCGGAAAGTGCGGGCCAATCGTATTGTGTTACCATTTAAGTATCGAATGAATAATTTTTGGTTTAGAAGAAGATTCAAAATGGTTCACTTCCCTGCTAGGATTATTCGTTTTCCTATATGAATGCTCTCATCCGACAGCTTCCCTAAATACTCCAACATTCCACCGATTTTGTTTTGCTTGGTATCGTTGTTAATTAAAAGCAGTCTTACTCGAGTACCTTCAAATGAAAGTGGTTCCTTTACTACTCACCCGTTTTCCCCTCTCATTTCAACCTTTTTTACTCACGGGTTCTTTCATTTCCACTAGGCTTTCTACCATCCCTGTCCATTTCGAGTGCTTCCTATTTACTGGTTTCAATTTCCGCATGTAGCTGTTATCCAGTCATTTTAGTTCCTTCAATTCATCTTTTAATTCTATTCGTGGTTCCTATAATAGTATTACGTCAAATTCTCTGAGGAAGCTCTTGGAAGATCGCATGTGTTTTATTCCTCATATTCTATGCCAATTCCAGGGGTTGTTATCTCTGATATGGCAGGGATGCAGCTGCAGCTCCTCTTCCGTAATTGGCCTGTGACTATGACTAATTTTCGGGGAGTAGATTAGTTTATACGTGTTGTACAATCATTGGACCAATTAGGATAAACCTGACTTGACCCTATAATTCTTGAATTATATCTTATGATTTTTAGGTTTCAGATTCAATTCCCGGTAGGGTAAATTTATAGAATCTAACCATTTTAAGTATTGATCAACCCCCCGACACCCCGGGATAATTCTCAAACTAGTCTGGCTGCCGCTTGTATCGTTCACGATTGGGCGCCAGCCAGGTTTTTCTGGAAAACCTGACGAAAAACCAGCCACGAAGGAATTTCGTCAACTCCGCGGACTTTCGGTGGTGGGTCTCACAATGCCGAGCCAGCATCAGCATGACACGGTAGAGTGGGCGAGGTTCACCAACGTACGAGTGACTTTAATCACTAACTTCTGCCGCGCTTACGGTGTCGTCATCGATATCTTTTGGGGAACGTATTCCCCAAACTCTCGTGGAGGGATATGACCATCCCTCACACGTGGTACTCTCTCTTCTGGGGTGGCTCAACCCCAGACAACACACAGATTACCTGCGAATCCTTCGCACCCCGCAGGGCGCCGAACTTCTCGAGGCACATGCGACGCAGGTATCTGGAGACCTCTCTCACCCACCTAACGTCCACCCCAACTCGAGAGCTCGGTAATAGTAATCTCATAGCGAGTAAAAACCAAAGTTACCTCCCATGGAGGCGCGTGCGACCGGACCGAGGGGAAACGCCTTGCGTCCCAGCCCTTAGTCCACCTCAACACCATGGGTTTCGCCCTAGAGATGGATCTCTGTAGCCTCGGACTCTCGTCCATAGCCTCAAAGTAATCCATTTCACTGATCGGGGACGCATAAGCCTCCCCTTCTCTCGCTATTCCCTTATTCCTTGGAACCACGTACCCCTCATAATCCCGGCGGGGATTATTGCCAGCAAGTGATCCCGAGCTCCTAAAACATCCGCTCGAGACCAGCACTCAACGCGAACTGTCCTGAAATCTCCCAGGGCCTTGTCCCCCTAGTCTGAGCATCTCAGCGATTGTGGGTCATCCGTTACCCCACAGACACCAATCAACTCGACGGGATCCCGGGGGCGCTAGTCCTTTCACCTAACCATTGGTCCCTGGTCTAAATCGACGGCGCACTTCGCAACAACCCAGTTGGAACGCCTGTACGTCGACCCTGAACTCCCTAACACGGCTAGGTGGATTTCCGAATTGGGAAACAGCTATCGTCAGCGTCATCACAATGTTCCGAAACATGGTCTCACCCTACCATGTTTCTTCCCACTATGTGATTGGTCTAATTTACATTCGGAGCGGCCTGATTGGCCGTCGTCCGATGTTCTACTCATCTTTCGCTCGGGTATTTCAGCCGGCGTTAGATGTCATCCCTTTCGCCTAGTGACTTTATTAGGGTTTTTCCCTAGTAACGACAAATATCTCGTTACAAGTCATTATGAATGAAAAGATCTAAAATAAGTATCAACAAAAATACTCGGCGGTTTCTGACGTTCTGCGACGCCTCGGGATTAAACAATACATCGTTTTTAGAAATAAGATTCTGTTTAATACTAAACACAATGCTGAGTGATGAGAACCAGGAAGATGATCCCTCTTTCTCGTCATCCAGATCTGGCATCAACAGTCCCACGGGGTTCTAACGACCCTCTGGTCAGCACCTCTCTGGACAGATAGCTATCGAAGTCTAGGTATGATGGGCTATTTGACTGCCTTGGTATTGGTGAAAGCACGAAGATAACAGTGGAAAGTAACTGTGTGACTGCTTAGTTCAGCAAATTGAGACTTGGAGAACTTTGTTGAAGTCATGAGGACTCAAGCGACAAACGAGGATCGGAGCTCAACAGACCAGACCTCTGAGATCCAAGCCTTAAGCCATACAAGACGAGATAATCAAAGTTCCTAGTTGAACCTTTTAGTGAATATATTATCATTTCATCGATTAATTAACGCCATAACATCTTTCAAGCAATCCTTCCTAATGTTACGACAACCTCCTTCCGAGTGCACAAATCCCCCGTGAGCTAGACTCAGAACTAGTGAAGGAAGAAGTGACCAAGACTACTAGAGTCAAAGAAAACCATTGCATAAACGTCACACATTGCCCAAATCTACCCTTAAGGGTAGAAGTAGCTAGAAAGAAATGAAACGAAAGACAAATGAAAATATTCAATTATGGATTTCGATTTTTCTTTCGTTGACAAAAATTCAATGAAAGGTTCTTTAAATTTGGATTTATTTTCAAATTGAAATGATCAATTTTCGTTTATCTCAAGTTTCTTGTAAAAGAAAAATTTTAACATTTACCCTTAATAGAAATTTGACTTGCAATTTTTGAGTCCTCTTATATGATTTAATTATCTTTCCAAAAGAAGGGTGATCAGCGAATTATTGAGGATTTTTTTAATTCTACTGGAGAGATTCTGTTATCTGATTTTAGCAAAAGAGTTTTGCTTATGGATTTCACTCTCCTTAAAAGATCATGTGAATGAAGATATATTGTTCAAAATATTGAAGTGGAGCCATAACGTTACCAAATAAAGCAAACAATTCGTAGATAAATAGTTGTTGTTGGGAAGATGAATATAACTCTGTTAAGGGAAATCCTTAGTAGTTCCGAATGAGACCGGTCGGTCTGCAATCTAACATAGAGCTAGCCCATATTAGGATCTATGAACTTGTTACGTACGCCACTACCTTAGAGCAATAAACTTTAATTTTTCTCTTTAAATCGAAATGTATTTACAACTCCCAAAATTTTGCCTCGGCATCCGCCAGTGTAAAGGCTTATCGAGAGGCACTGACTTCCCTCGACTCTATCCAAAAACTACAATTCAAAACTCAAAATGGCTGACAGCTCACTTGTAAAAGTAGACCCTACTTGTTACAAGGGGGAGGGGCAACGATACCCCCCCTCTGGGATTCTCTTCTATCTTGACAAACAAGACACTGTTTTTCTAATTCAAGAAGAAAAATATTAGAATTCACATAAAAAGAAGATTACACAGAAAATAATACAAAATCTTGATCTCGGGTCTTTGTATCCCCGTCACGACAAAGGAAATTAGCACGGCACAGAAACGTAACTCAGATAATTTTTCCGATAATCAACAAAACAAAATTAGTGGATTTTCGCCACGAGGGACGCCATTACATGGCCAACAGCGGACTCCTAAAGAAACTTTATAATTCCTCAAAACTCGAACAATTCGAATCTGCCCACCTATTTAGTGGCTCCACCACGTCTTCATCCAGGTAGGGCAGCAACCAGGACGCCAAAACTCCTCAAAGCTAAACTCAAATTATGAGAACAATGTTCTCTCCTCAAAAACTGAACTTGACTCAACGCCGGCCGGGAGGCAACTCTACTTAAGCTGAGGCCGGTACGCTTCACGATGCTCCGTCTTACTCAAATTTTAATTTGTCTTCGAAAAGGACTGTTATTCTTAGAATTAAGTCAATAATTCTTTCAAGCATATACCGTTTTTTGTCTAGCTCGTTTTATTGTGACATATTCAAGTGTAATTAGTGACTTTACTAACAATTCAAAGTTGACTCTTTTTGATTAACGCCACGCGAGTGTTTTTTGACCCTCTCCACATTTTCCCGTAATCCAAAAATATTTCGTCCAGCGCCTAAAAATATCCCCAACACCAGATCCCGCGCTGGACATTTTGGTCCTTCGAGCCCGATACGCGGGATATTTTTTAGTTTTCGTTCCTATTTAGCGTTTTACGGAAGTGCTAGTGATTAGCGTCAGAAATCGTGCAGAGTCGCCGCCCGAGACAAGTTGAAATCGTTCAGCTCAAGCGCAGCTCAATTTCTTGAAAAGGCTCCATCTCTGAGGCCCTTAGTGCTCTTAAAGCTCTTGATCAGCCAACTGATCATTGGGGTCCGGTAATCGTTCATTCGATTCGAGGGGATTTTATTTTAATTAATTTTTTTTTATTGTATCGAGATATTTCAATTATTAAAAATTGTTCTCCCCAACAATTCTAGAGTTTTATTAATTTTTTTTACCTATGTTGATAATGTCAGTTGCATCCCCTTTCAGCTTCCGATTATTTTTAAATCTCTACGTGTGAGCTACTGGAGCAGTTGAAGCTGGGATTGGAGAAGGATTTCGATACGGCGAGCATTCCGTTAAAATTGATCTGGCGCCTAACATTTTTGAATTTTTATTTTCTGTTGAGGTTGTTGGTGCCAGAAGGCAGGCTAATGGAAGGAGGGTTCCGTAAACCTCCTGAAATTACGTTGAGGTACAGATACGCATGACCAACTTGTAGGAATAGCTCTAGACGTTTGCAA